CTGTGTCTGTTGAAAGTCTATGTGCAACTAAAACCTTCCTCCCTAGAATTGATTCTTCACTGTGACTTGATCACAGCTGTCATAAAAGTAACTACAGCCCTCTTATGGTATAGAAGCTGAGGAAAAACCATGTGACAAGCCATGATTGGTTGGTTGCTTGTCGTGAAATTACAAAGAGGCAGTATGAGAAATGCTAGATACTAGTCCATAAGGGGCCTGCTTGCAGTGAGAATGGAACAATGGTCCTGATAAATTTGGAGTTCTCTAATCACCTGGACTTCAAAATATTCCCATTGGGGTTGTTTGTTTGTTTGTTTCCCCTGAGTCAGGATTTCTCTGTGTAGGTTTGCTCCTGTCCTTGAACTCACTCTATAGCCCAGGTTGGCCTTGAACTCACAGAGATTAGCCTGCAGGATTAAAGGTGTGGGTCACCACTGCGTGGCAGCTTGTACTGTCTTTAATAATTCAGTTTATTTAGGTGTGGACTCAGGGTTCTACTGGCACTGAGATTAGTTTGAATGCATTCCTTGCTTTCCCTTTCATGAAGTGATTTTTTTTCTTTCTTTCTTTTTTTTTGTTTGGTTTTTTTGAGAGGGTTTCTCTGTGTAGCTTTGAGCTTTTCCTGGAACTCGCTTTGGAGATCAGGCTGGCCTGGAACTCACAAAGTTCCACCTGCCTCAGTCTTCTGACTGCTGGGATTAAAGGCGTGGGCCACCACCGCCCGGCTGAAGTGTTTTCTCTTACATTAGTGTTAGTTTGTCTTAGGGTTTCTAGTGCTACAAAAAAAAAACACCATGAAAAAAAAACCCACAATAAAACAAACAAACAAACAAACAAACAAAGAAAAATAAAGTTGGGGAGGAAAACTTTTATTCAGTTTACACTTCCAGATTGCTGTTCATCTCCAAAGAAAGTCAGGACAGTAATGCAAATAGCAGGAAACTGGAGGCATGAGCTGATGCAGAGGCCAAGGAAAGGTGCTGCTTACTTGATTGCTACCCCTGGCTTGCTGAGCCTGATTCCATAGAACCCAGGACCACCAGTCCAGGGATAGCACCACTCACAAAGGGCAAGTGCCTCCCCCACCGTCACTAGTTGAGAGAATGCCAGACAGCTGGATCTCATGGAGACATGTCATCAACTGAGGTCTCTTCATCTCTGATGTCTCCAGTTTGTATCAGGTTGACTAACTAGTCCTTCAGGACAGTGTTCATTCTTCTCCAAAGTTTTGATAGATTCAGGGAATCCAAGAAGCCTGGGCTCTAATGGCTTGAAGCCATTCTTGCTACCAGCCACACTGTTGTTTATAACTCAAGTCCTTAAGTGGTTTTCTTTTCTCTTATTTTAATATTCACACGTGGCTAGGTATTCCTTTCATACTTTCTTATTTCCTGGGCCTTAATAGTTGAAACATCCCTGAAAGATCCTCTGGACTGTAGTTTGGTTGGGACATAACCCCTCTTTTCTCTCACTTTAAATTTGATATTAAATCTCTTGATCACATTTGGCCAGGATATTTCATTTTGATACATTCTTGAAAAGTGATCAAGTCATCCTATCTCTGATCTCAGTCTTTTCCTTTGCACATATACATCAAAGTTTCCATCTTTGATTTTTACTATGATTCCTCATCTAGTGCTTAGAGGTTGTGTTTTTCTAGTGTTTCTATGTCCTTGACCTGCATCATTAGATTGTTTGGGGTATCCCACATTCCATGACAGAATTCATAGCACTAAAAATTCATCCTAAAATTGTATTAACTCTTGTTTCTGATGTTGTTTGTCCCAGGTTTTGCCAACAAAATAAAGTTTCCTAATTGATCTGAACATCATGGCCAGCCCCTTGGAAGAAAACATCCTTGAAAAGGATTTCATGATCTTAACATCTCTAGGCTCTGGTGGATATGGGGAGGTGAAGCTTGCCTGCCACCTTCCTACACATACACAGGTGGCTATCAAGGTCCTGGAGAAGAAAAAGAATTCTCTGGCTTGCATCAACACTGAAATAGAGATACTTCAATCTGTGGAACACAGAAACATAGTTCATTTCTTTCATGTTATTGACACAAGTTCAACAACTTTTGTGATCATGGAGTATATTGAAGGAAAAGACCTGGAATGTTTAATCAGTGAGAGATACTATCTAAAGTATCTAAAGGAGATACTATCTAAAGTATCTAAAGGAGGATGAGACCAGACCAATATTCCAACAGGTCGTTTCAGGAGCTCATTTTCTCCACCAAAAATGAATTGCCCATCGTGATATTAAATTGGAAAATATCCTATTGACAGAGCTGGCAATGTCAAGCTTTGTGACTTTGGTATGGCCAGACAGATGGCCGAGGGGCAGATGTTGGAAGAATTCTGTGGCACCTTGGTCTATTTGGCTCCAGAGATTTTGGCAAGAAAACCCTATGATGGACTGGCAGGGGATATGTGGAGCTTGGGAGTCCTCCTATATGTACTGGTCACAGGACAATTTCCATATGAAGGAGCCACCCATGATCATATGTACAAGGTCACCACCACCACAATGTATCCCTGTCCCTACTACGTTTCAGAATCCTGTCTATTCATCATTGCAAGATTACTCATGGTCCCCACCCAGCACAGGATAACAATATGTCAGCTCCAGCAAAGCGGATGGCTGGACAACATTAAAGAACATGCAACACCTACAACTAAGGAAATTCTTCCTAGGGTCGTGGAGACCATGTGCACTATGGGATATACCTGTGAGGAGATTGTATCATCCCTAAAACACAGGCAACCAAATAATGTAATGGCTACCTTCAATATCCTCAAATACAAACTGAGCTGTGGAGACAGCCATCAGCAAAATCAAAAGCCCTGGCTCAATGACAGCCCTATAGGTGTTCTTCACCCCCTTCTCCCCCTGAAGAGGAGATTCAGTGAACTAGCCTTCCCAATAGGTACAGGAGATGGGAAGAGACATTTTCATGAGGAGGGTGTGGAAGGAAGAGGCAGGAGATGCCAAAGCTACAAATTGGTCAACAGATACAGAAAATAAATCCTATACAGAATAAAGTGTCCCACAAGGAGACTCATTGAAGTCAATGCAAATTCTGTGGACAGGCAGCCTGGTGATCTTTCCACAAGTGAATCAGCCCTGGATGGAACACTCAACAGGTTTCTGATGATGGGCTTCTCCACAGAGGAACCATTCACGGGGTCCAACATGTCCAATGACCAGCCTCAGGATGGACCTATATCCTTGGGATCCAAGCCACTCAGAGTCTGGAAGCTGATGAAGAAGAGAAATTCCCATATATTGAAAGCACAGTTTTCCAGCTCCATACCCACTCCATTGTGAGCCCTGAATCCCTGTGTCAGCTACAAAGAAATGAGAGGACTGTGCATTGCAAAATAGGCCCTGTTCTTTGGTCACCAAGATGTTCTCCTCCATTGTATCTTGATTATGTTATTTTAATAAATATCCCTTTGTAAATGACAAGTATATCTCCCCTACAGTCAAAGGCACACACACACACACACACACACACACACACACACACACACACACACACACACA